TCTTTTTTTAGTATAATACGTGTGTGGGTAGAAGTGAATCATTTACTGCTTGCAAACCAATGATGGTAAGATGATGTCATGGGGTAGGACTGGATAAGTCTGACTTCTTCCTACTCCATTCATGTACTAGCTATAAGCAAATTGATATTGGATTATGTGTGTTGTCATATCAACTGTTTTTACATGCTTGAAAGAATAAATCAAATCAAATCAAAATCTTCTTCCACAAGTTTTGTGGGCCACGAAGAGTCCAGCAAATGCCTTAATGTCAGTTGATTGATTAGTATATTTGTTTGACCTTTGCTTTTACTCCTCATGCAGTGGATTTTATTTTTAATATATTCAAGCAGCACCCTGCCGGTGTAGTGTTTACAGTACTGACTATGAACTCCAACATGAGTTCAAGGGGCCTGGGGCCTTTGTTGCATCTCTCTTGCTTTCCCTTTCTTCATCTAATAAAGGCATAAAATACACCAAAAATAAGAGAATATTTATACTCACAACTGTTTGGCTGGAACATGCAAATGAATATTTTTGAAGATGCAGGGGGTGACTCATCTTCTCATCATTGGGCTTTATCATGATCATAATCAAGTCGTCTGTTTTTGATTACTGCACTTGTATTTTAAGTAGTGAGCCAAGAGTATGATTGGTTTTTGGTAAACTCATGTTACTGGGGCGTGGGCTTTATCTCTGCACAGCGTCCTCATTGTAGTCATCTGCTTTGATGTTTTGGCTCCATTTTGGTCAATGACGTGTGGCCGCAACCCAACCGCTCTAAACCTATAATATACATTTGCATTAATGACAGTATCTGTTGGTGTGACCACAGATTACTGAGAAAATGAGAATCCTATTGTCTAAATATTTCACAACTGGTCAGCCCACACATACTACACAAGACTCGGCTCTGACGCAAAAGCTCATCACCTTTCACACTGTAATACTTCAGCCACTACGCAGGTACAAATCCTACTCCTTAGGTCTTCACTTCACCTCCATCCCATTCCCTTGAACACAATCTCTCAGGAATTTCCTCAAATTTGGCACAAGCATCATCAAGGATGATGTGACGCAGCTCTCTATCAGTCTTCTGTGAAAATAATATCTGAGTGAAGACAGCATGTTCCTCATTTGAAACTATTCATTAGAATCATAGTAACAACATCCATTTGACTAAAATACTCCTACTAGCTGTTGTTAAATTAATTCACTGACTTCACTACATGGGAGTTTGGACACACATGCATATACAACTTAACTGGATGGCCGAGGCATAACCTACAACTGTGAAGAGGTAATTCTAGTTTTACTCTACATTAAAAAAACAGAAGAGATTGAGTATTTGCAGTCAGAACTCTGTTTTATTTTCCTTTAAATTGTGTTTTGTTTTGCCCTATGATATATGTGTGTTGTTCTAACTGTTGACATATCTTCACTGTTTTGCTGCTTTGCTTTTATTCTCTGTAATAAATATAAATTATGATTAATATTATTCAGGTGGATCTGCAAAGGATACTTGATGACAGAAGAACAAGGTAGATCAAGTGTTAAAAAGTGGAATATACTTCAGCAGTTTGATCAGGGGGGCTTGAGGTCAGCTTGCCCTCTCCAGCAAGGCAGGTAGGATTTATGACTCAATCATCTCACAGTCAGGAGAAAATAAGTTTGTTGCTGGAATGTATAAAGTTCTGTAAATTTTTCAGTTGAAAGACTGAGACTTTAATGTGTCTTGCTGCCTTCAGCTTGTGCAGCTGGACATTCGTTAACAAACATGACATACCGACCCTTTTGGCTCTTTTTCTCTACTTCCTTCTTTGTGTCGACCTCCTCATAAGTGTTATCTGTTTATTATATTAGTTAAACATGCAGTGACTCATCTCTTTATGCACCCTTGGGTTCAGGGTGTAACTTACAAACCAAAGTAGAAGCATCACTTCTTCTAGTTTATTAAACTTCACTGTATTTGCTGCAGCGCTCTGGATCACTGACTCTTTCACAAATAGCCCAAAGGCATGGAAATATAGTGTTTATGTATACAGGATGATCTATCAGAAGACTGAAAAGTAGAGCGGTCCTTTCCCCCCCTTAAATCTCAGTTTTTATTTATTCTACGCTAGGCTAGTAAACAAAGTCCTTGTCAGGATGACGATCAATCCATGCAATAGATACAGCAACTCAGGAACAAAAACAGCCAAACCCGTCCGTATGTTTGACTCACTATGTGTTTTGTATGACACACAAAGAAACTTGATTTTACTGTACAAAAAGAAAGTCCTTCCCAAAAACAAGTTGTCACAGTCATTTTTAAAATTAACTAACTAACAAAAACAATACTTGGTGCAGTGCACCCATCTGCAATAATGTATTTTTATTCAGCAGATACTATTCTATAAAAGATAATGATATGAAATTAGAGGAGCACGTCATACATGATACACTAATGTTTATCATGAGCTTATCAGACAACGCATGAAGCAAGACAGAGAGAGATAAAGGCAGCTTCAAAATAAAAACACTGATTACAAAGATCATTAGTCCTCACAGTGACAGGAGGAGGATTAGTACCCAAAAAGGGAAACACCATGTGTTACAGTAACCAATTATAATAACTGAGAATAATAATCTAATTTTCAAGAGACATAATGACATTTTATCACATTTTAAGAAGCTTCTCCAAAAACACAGAGTATATATGAAAGTCTTTGCTCTCACTGTGCTGTCAGTTGTGGGTATTAACCGCTGCCACCTACTGTCAAAGTACAGCACC